ACAGGAGACAAAGGTGGAGGAAGGAACGACTGCACAGGAGGAAGACAGTGGAGGACACCGAGGATCTTGTAGACACAGGAGGATACACAACCAGGAAACCCCAGGAAGAAAGATCACAGACTGCCCACAAGGTGGAGGTGGAGACCCCAGTGGAGGAGGCACAGGCATTCCCAGCCGGAGGAAGACACAGGACGTCCAGAACAGGTGGAGGACCCAGGACACACAGAGGACACACGGAGGAGGACACTGATGGAGGCAGTGGAGGAAGGAGGACAAGGAAGGACAGGTGGACAAACACAGTGGAGTGGACATGGAGGTCACACACAAAGGAGGAGGACATGGAGGATCACGAGCCAGGACACACATGGAGGACCCACACAGGAGGACAGGAAGAAGGACAGCTGCCCCAGGGAAGGAGGACACAAGTGGACAGTGGCCGGGTGGAGGACAGCCAAGAGGTGGACAAGCATTAAATATGGAGGACAAAGGTGGAGGACACACAGGAACCAGGAGCACTTGTGGAGGACAGCCAGGAACATGGAGGAGGAAAATACTGTGGAGGACGGAAGAAAGGAGGAGGAGGACAAGGAATGGATACCGAAAACGAGGACACACAGGTGGAGGACAGCATGGAGGACATTTGTTATGGATGGATATTTAAAGAAGACATGAAAGGGAGGACAGCCAGTGGTGGAGGATAAATAGTGGATGGAAACGAGTGGATGGAAGGAAACGGATGAAAGGGTGGAGGACAGAAAGAAGGAAGAATGGAGGATAAATGGAAGGGTGGAGGGACAGAAGAAAGGAGTGGATAAAGAAGGACAAGAGGAATAGCTGGAGGAATGGATGCATTAAAGGAGGGGACAGAAATATGGAGGACATGAAGAAAAGGGTGGATAAATGAAAGAAGGAGGATGGAATATGGAGGGTGGATGTAATGAGGAAATGGAGGAGGATATTTGTGGAGGACCAGGGAAGGAGGATAAAGAAAAGGTGGAGGATGCCTTTAAAAAGAAAATGGAGGATAAAATAGTGGTGGACAAATGAAAAGAAAGATGAAAGAAATGGAGGGACAAATGGAGTGGAGGATAAATGAAAATAGGTGGAGGATAAATGAAAAGAAATGGAGGGAGGGATGGAAATGAAAGGAGCCCTGGAGGAATGTGGTGGAGGATAAATGAAATGAGGAGGATAAAGATGAAGGAGGATAAATGAAAAGGAGGGATGTTCAGGTGGAGGACGAAGGGAGGAAGAATATGGAGGATGTCTCTAGTGGTGGAGGACAAATGAAAGAAGGTGGATAATGGAGGATAAGGAAGAAAGGGAGGATAAATGGAAATAGGGAATGGATGTATTAGGTGGTGGATGGAGGATAAAAGGTGGTGGAGGGATAAATGGGATAAACATGAAAGAATGGAGGGACAAATGGTGGAGGATAAGAGGTGGATAAATAAAAGTGGATAAATGAAAGTGGTGGAGGATAAAGGGAAAGGATAAGAAGGAGGGAAAGAAATGGAGGGATGCCCAATGGAGGGGAAAGAAATATTGAGGGAAGAAAGGGAGGGATAAGGGAAAGAAAGGGAAAGGGTGGAGGGATAGTGGATGTGGAGGACAAAGGGTGGATAAATGAAAGAAAGGGAGGACTGCCCCTTGTGTCATTGAGGATGATGTCTGCATCAGGTGGATGAAGTGTTTGTGGTGGAGGGTGTCTATGTCCCTTGAGACAATGCATGTGTTGTGGTGGAACTGACGTCTGTGTGTTTGCCGAGAAGATGCCTTGTGTGTCATGGGTGGAGGACTGCTCCAGGTATCAGGCCTTGAGGATCATTCCAGTCCCAGGGCAGGACGTCTATCTGTGGAGGACATCACTGTCAGGACGTCCCATGTCCTGGTGGAAGACAAGTCTATGTCTCATGAAAGACGTTAGTGTGTCAGGCGGATCATTGTTTGGAGATCATTCACTGTATGGAGGACTGCCCCAGTGTTGTGAGCAGGACGTCTCCAGGCATGGTGGAGAACTTGTCTTGTGGCGGAGGACGTCTCCAGGCTCATTGAGGAGGACAGCCCTGCATCAGGTGAAGCATCTGCATCTGTGGCGGACGTCTGTCTTTGAGGAGGATGTCTTGTGCACATGGTGAACTGTCTCAGGCTGTGGTGGAGGACGTCCTGTCTGTGGTGGAGGATCTTGTGGCCAGTGACAGGCTCAGGTCAGGTGCAGGACGCTCCAGTGTTGGCCGAGGAGGATGCATTGTGTAATTGTTGAGGAGGATAAGCCCGGGTGGCATTGATCCGGAGGATCTTGTGTCATTGTGGGCATGCCTTGTGTGGCTGCAGTGAGGACGTCCTTGTGTTGTGGAGGAGGACGTCTGTGTGGCTTGCTGAGGAGGATGTCAGGGCATTGTGGTGAAGGATGTTTGAGACTGTGGTGCATGGATTCCAGCACACAGGAGGACTGCCCCAGAAGCCCATGGAGGATGCCCTTGTGTTGTGGTGGAGGTCACAGCCGTCGAGGAGGACACCCAGGTATCAGGTGGAGACGCCCAGGCATTGTGTTGGAGGACAACTTGTGGTCAGGGTGGAGGACGTCTTGTTCCATTGTAGCGGAGGACGTCCCAGGCATCAGGTGGAGGACTGCCCCAGTGTTGTTGAGGATAGATCCTTGTGTGTTAACGTGGAGGATCTTGTCAGCTGTGGAGGAGGACAAGCCTTTGTGTCATGCTGAGGAGGATACGTCTTGCATTGTGGTGGAGGATGCTCTGTGCATTGTGGCGGCGGACGCTCCAGTGTTGTGGTGGAGGATGCCTGTGTGTCATGCGGTGGAGGACGTCTTTTATGTTGTCGTGGGAGGATGCTCCAGGCTTGTCGAGGAGGACTGCCCCAGGCATTCAGGTGGAGGATGTTTCAGTGCACTGTGTTGGATGACGCCCAGTGCATTGTGGTGGCGGATGCCTGTGTGCGGTTGTCAGAGTGACAAGCCTGTGTGCCATGGTGGAGGACGTCTGTGTACAGTAGTGACGCCCAGAACTGTGTTGGAGGATCGCCCATCCGTCCCCGAGGATGGACGTTGGTCTAATCATTGAGGAGGACTGCCCAGGCATTGTTGAGGAGGACGCCCCAGTAATTGACGTGGAGGACGCCCTGTGTGTTGTTGTGGAGGACTGCCCCAGGCCAGCAGTGGATGACGTCCCAGGTTGTTGAGGAGGACAAGCCCAGGTTGAGGATTCCCAGTAATTGTGGTGAAGGATGTCTGAGCATCAGGTGGATGCCCAGGCCAGGAGAACGTCTTGTGGCCCCAAGTGGAGGACTGCCCCAGGCCGTGGTGGAGGACGCCCAGGCACAGAGGTGAGCCCAGCCCTGTCGACAGAGGATGTCTTGTGTTGTGGTGGAGGATGTCTAGGTCCTTGTGGTGGAGGACGTCTTTTATTGTATGGAGGACAGCCCCAGGCATCGGCATGACCGTGTTGGTTGAGGAGGACGTCTTGTCAGGAGGATCTTTTGTGCCTGTGGAGTGACTGCCCTAGTGGTTGTTGAGGAGGGACGTCTTGTATTGTGGTGGAGGACACTGCATTGGTGGTGGAGGACTGCCCCGTGCCAGGGTGGAGGACGCCCCAGGCCGCGGTGGAGGACGTCTTGTTGTGGAGGAGGACGTCTGTGTGCCGCCGAGGAGGACGTCTGTGCACTGTGGCCGAGGACGTCTGTATCAGGTTTGGAGGACTGCCCCAGGCATCAGGATGGACACCGGTGGCTTGCCCAGTGGCCGCGGCGGAGGATGGCCTGAGCATCAGGTGGCGGATGTCCAGTGTTGGTTGGCGGACGTTCAGGCCCCTGGTGGAGGACACAGGTGAGGTCACAGGTTGTTGTAGAGGTGGACGCCCAGCATTGCTGAGGAGGACGCCCAGTGGCTGTGGTGGAGGACGTCTGACAGGTGGAGGACAAGGCATTGTGGTGGAGGACAACGAAGAGGAGGATCCTTTGTGTGTCACTGTGGAGGATCTTTTGAAAGGAGGAGACAGCTGAGGAGGACAAGCCCAGGCATTGTGGTGGAGGACACCCCAGGCATTGTGGCGGACGCCCCAGGTGGAGGACCAGCGGAGGATGGAGGAGAACAGACAGGTGGAGGACAAGCACAGGTGGAGGACAGGGTGGTGGACACATGGAGGACACAGTGGAGACAAGGAGGACACAGCTGGAGGACACCTGAAAGGAGACCACATGGAACACAAGGAGGAGGACTGCACACAGGAGGACACAGTGGAGGAGGAGGACACAGGAGGACACAGTGAGGACACACAGTGGACACATGGACACACACAGGCTGGAGGGAGGACAAAGAAGGACAAGGAGGACAAATGCACACAGGACACAGCATGGACACACAGGAGGACAAACAGGGTGGACACAGGTGGAGGAAGCACAGGAAGAAAGCTGAGGAGGACAGGAGGACACAGTGGACAAGAACAGGGTGGAGGTGGAGGACAAAGAGGAAGAACAGCATGGACAAGGACAGGTGGATGGAGGACAAATAGGAAGGAGGAAGAGGACAAATGAAAATGGTGGAAAGAAGAGGATGGAAAAGGATAAGTGGAGATAAATGGAGGGACAGAAATGGAGGACAGAAAGAAAGGAGGGATAAATGAAGGAGGAATGGAAGGATGAAGAAGAGGAGGATAAATGAATGAATGGAAATGGATAAATGAAAGGGTGGAGGGATAAATGGTGGAGGAGGAAGGAAGTGGAGGAGGGATGGAAGGAAGGAAGAAGGAATGGAAATGGACCACATGGAGGGACACGGAAGATCCAACTGCACATGAAGAATGGAAGAATAGACAAAAATATAACTGATGACTTTTGATGAGTTCAACTTCGTCCTGCTTAACACAAGGCTGCTAATTAAAAGGGACTTTTTTCCCTGGACAAGTATTGTGACATCGAAGAATTGGAACTATATTCGCTGCGCCTGATCACGGACATCATGATGTACAAAACGTGCTGCTGGGAAATTCCGTGCACACGAAGAGAAGGCGAACCAGTCGTGTGGTCAGGAGCCAGAAGATCGCTTGTCTCGAGACTTACTCTGAAATGTCAGGGATGCGGTGGAGTTTTGGTTTTTCCTGTCTGTTTTTCCTGAAAATGGTTTGGATTTGCCAGGCTTTTGATGTAAGTGTATTTTCATATTATTAATATTGATGACAAAACTTGTCTGCTGGAGAAGCTGTTCTCCGCCGCGCTGCTTCTGTCAGCATATTGAGGCACGACACACCTGTTCGCGACGTCACTGGTGTATATTAATATTTTGTTTTCGTTGATTTCGGCGGTTACAATGTGTGACTTCAAGTGTGAGAAATAATCAACATAGCCTTCAATTCTGGCGGCACCAAAGCATAAATTGTGACCCGTGTAAGCAAAATCTGACCATACACATGTTTTGGTTTGGTTCTACATGTTGGATATTAATAACACCCCAACCACGTTCAAAGCAGCCACACGCTGGGTACACAACGGACAACAAATTACAAAATGTCAAACGTGACTATCTTCCACCTGCTTGAGGCGAACCTAACGGTAATATAATCTTAACCTAAAGACGTTGTTCGTGGCTTTAAGTTCAAGCAATACACACCCAACATCCCAGCAATACACACGCCATATCCCAGCAATACACACCCCATATCCCACCAATACACACCCAACATCTCAGCAATACACAACTAACATCCCAGCAATACACTCCCAACATCCCAGCAATACACTCCCAACATCCCAGCAATACACTCCCAACATCCCAGCAATACACTCCCAACATCCCAGCAATACACTCCAACATCCCAGCAATACACTCCCAACATCCCAGCAATACACAATCAACATCCCAGCAATACACACTCCATACCCCAGCAATACACACCCAACATCCCAGCAATACACACTCCATACCCCAGCAATACACACCCAACATCCCAGCAATACACACTCCATACCCCAGCAATACACAACCAACATCCCAGCAATACACACTCCATACCCCAGCAATACACAACCAACATCCCAGCAATACACACCCCATTCCCCAGCAATACACAACCAATATCCCAGCAATACACACTCCATACCCCAGTAATACACACCCAACATCCCAGCAATACACACTCCATACCCCAGCAATACACAACCAACATCCCAGCAATACACATCCCAGCAATACACACTCCATACCCCAGCAATACACACCCCATATCCCAGCAATATACACCCTATATCCCAGCAATACGCTCACTACATCCCAACAATACGCTCTATATATCCCAGCAATACACCCCATATCCCAGCAATACACCCCATATCCCAACAATACACACCCCATATCCCAGCAGTACACATCCAACATCCCAGCTGTACACACCTCATATCCCAGCAATACACTCCCTACATCCCAGCAATACACACCCAACATTCCAGCAATACACACCCCATAACCCACCAATACACTCCCCATATCCCACTAATACACACCTCATATCCCAGCAATACACGCTTTTATCCAAGAAAGACACACCCCATATCCCGGCAATACACTCACCATATCTCAGCAATACATTCACCATATCCCAGCAATACACACCCCATATTCCAGCAATACACACCCAACATCCCAGCAATACACTCTCCATATCCCTGCAATACACACCCTATTTCACACCAATACACACCTACATCTCAGGAATACAAACCCATACCCCAGCAAGGCGCACCCTATACCCAACCAATACACATCTACATGCCGATCATACACACCCATACCCTAGCAATACACTCCCTTTATCCAACCAATACACACCCCATATCCCAATAGTACACATCCCATATCCCAGTAGTACTGTCTCCATATCCCACCAATACACACACCATATCCAAGCAATACAGACCACATATCCCAGCAATACGCTCCATATATCCCAGCAATACGCTCCATATATACCAGCAATACGCTCCATATATCCCAGCAATACGCTCCATATATCCCAGCAATACGCTCCCCATATCCCAGCAATACACACCATATCCCAGCAGTACACACCCCATATCACAGCAGTACACACCCCACATCCCAGCAATACACTCCCCATATCCCAGCAATACGCTCCCCATATCCCAGCAATACACGCCCCATAACCCACCAATACACACCCCATAACCCACCAATACACACCTCATATCCCCGCAATCCTGGCAATACACGCTTTTATCCAAGAAAGACACACCCCATATCCCGGCAATACACTCACCATATCTCAGCAATACACAGCCAACATCCCACCAATACACACCCCATTCCCCAGCAATACACAACCAATATCCCAGCAATACACACTCCATACCCCAGTAATACACACCCAACATCCCAGCAATACACACTCCATACCCCAGCAATACACACTCCATATCCCAGCAATACACACCCAACATCCCAGCAATACACAACCAACATCCCAGCAATACACAACCAACATCTGTACACATAATGCAGTAATCATCAATTCAACACACGTCCAATACCCCAGCAATACACACCTAACATCCCAGCAATACACATTCAATATCCCCTAGCAATACACACCTAACATCCCAGCAATACACACACCATATACCCTAGCAATACACACCCAACATCCCAGCAATACACACTCCATACCCCAGCAAACACACAACTAACATCCAAGCAATACACACTCCATACTCCCAGCAATACACACCCAACATCCCAGCAATACACACTCCATATACCACGCTTTTATCAGCAATACACAACTAACATCCCAGCAATACACACACATACACATATCCCAGCAATACACACATCCAACATCTCAGCAATACACACTCCATACCCCAGCAATACACAAATAACATCCCAGCAATACACACCCAACATCCCAGCAATACACATTCCATACCCCAGTAATACACACCCAACATCCCAGCAGTACACACTCCATACCACAGCAATACACACTCCATACCCCAGCAATACACACTCCATACCCCAGCAATACACAACTAATATCCCAGCAATACACAACTAATATCCCAGCAATACACACTCCATACCCCAGCAATACACACTCAACATCCCAGCAATACACACCCAACATCCCAGCAATACACATCCAACATCCCAGCAATACACACCCAACATCCCAGCAATACACAACCAACATCCCAGCAATACATACTCCATACCCCAGCAATACATAACCAACATCCCACCAATACACACCCAACATCCCAGCAATACACAACCAACATCCAAGCAATACACAACCAACATCCCAGCAATACACAACATCCCGGCAATACACACACTCCACCCCAGCAATACACAGCAATACACACACAACATCCCAGCACACACACACCCCATACCCCAGCAAGTATACACACTCCAATATCCCAGCAATACACACCCAACATCCCAGCAATACACACTCCATACCCCAGCAATACACAACCAACATCCCAGCAATACACAACCAACATCCCAGCAATACACAACCAACATCCCAGCAATACACACCCCATACCCCAGCAATACACACCCCATACCCCAGCAATACACACCCAATATCCCAGCAATATACACCCAATATCCCAGCAATACACACCCCATATCACAACAATACAGACCACATATCCCAGCAATACATACCCCATATCCCAATAGTACACATCCCATATCCCAGTAGTACTCTCCCCATATCCCAGCAATACACGTCCCATATCCCAGCAATACACGTCCCATATCCCAGCAATACACACCCCATATCCCAGCAATACACACCCCATATCCCAGCAATACACACCCCATATCCCAGCAATACACACCCCATATCCCAGCAATATATACCCTATATCCCAGCAATACGCTCACTACATCCCAACCATACGCTCTATATATCCCAGCAATACACCCCATATCCCAGCAATACACCCCATATCCCAACAATACACACCCCATATCCCAGCAGTACACATCCAACATCCCAGCTGTACACACCTCATATCCCAGCAATACACTCCCTACATCCCAGCAATACACACCCAACATCCCAGCAATACACACCCCATAACCCACCAATACACTCCCCATATCCCACTAATACACACCTCATATCCCGGCAATACACGCTTTTATCCAAGAAAGACACACCCCATAACCCACCAATACACTCCCCATATCCCACTAATACACACCTCATATCCCGGCAATACACGCTTTTATCCAAGAAAGACACACCCCATATCTCGGCAATACACTCACCATATCTCAGCAATACATTCACCATATCCCAGCAATACACATCCCATATTCCAGCAATACACACCCAACATCCCAGCAATACTTTCCATATCCCTGCAATACACACCCTATTTCACACCAATACACACCTACATCTTAGGAATACAAACCCATACCCCAGCAAGGCGCACCCTATACCCAACCAATACACATCTACATGCCGATCATACACACCCATACCCTAGCAATACACTCCCTTTATCCAACCAATACACACCCCATATCCCAATAGTACACATCCCATCTCCCAGTAGTACTTTCCTATCCCATATCCCACCAATACACACCATATCCAAGCAATACAGACCACATATCCCAGCAATACGCTCCATATATCCCAGCAATACGCTCCATATATCCCAGCAATGCTCCCATATATCCCAGCAATACGCTCCCATATCCCAGCAATACACACCCCATATCCCAGCAATACACACCCCATATCACAGCAGTACACACCCCACATCCCAGCAGTACACACCCCACATCCCAGCAATGCAATCCCTACATCCCAGCAATATGCTCCTATATCCCAGCAATACACTCTATAACCCACCAATAATACACTAATACACACTCCTATATCCCAGCAATACACAACTAATATCCCAGCAATACACAACTAATATCCCAGCAATACACACTCCATACCCCAGCAATACACACCCAACATCCCAGCAATACACATCCAACATCCCAGCAATACACACCCAACATCCCAGCAATACACAACCAACATCCCAGCAATACACAACCAACATCCCAGCAATACATACCCATATCCCAGCAATACATAACCAAT